GGGATGTTGACTTGCCGTAACGCACGCGCAAGTGTTTGCAATGGGGGCACAGCCCAGTCGCCAAACACAACCACGTCAATGTCACTGCGCACATCCAATGGAACGGTCAGCAGTGATGAGTGGTGATGCACAGCACGACACAGCAGAGCGGACCAGGTCAAGTGTGTGAACGAGCGAGAATACAAAGCACAGAAACAGCCATACAGATTGGATCTGACACAGCTCAAACACCAACCATGCACGTACATGCACTTTCTAGAGTCAATTACCTTGTAGGCAGGTAGAGGCCGGTGTTGAAGCTGCCAAACACCGTCACCTGGTATGTGGCCCAGCACACAAGCGCGCACAGCCAAATCGCCCAATGAGCCAACAACTGCCCTGATCGACAAACACACAGACACAACACAGACGCACAAACACACAGAAACGGATACACCCACACACACATACACATAAACACAGACAGACAGACAGACACACACACATATACACATAAGCACAGACAGACAGACAGACACACCAAGCCACAATCGTGCGCTGACCTCAGCTTTCGGCCACAGCCCGAGGATGACCTCCTTGACACGGTCGACAAAGGCGCGACGCAGCGTCACTTCCTCCTTCATTGGCTCCATGTATTTGTGAAAGTCTACAATCTCCTGGTGGAGTCTGCAGCAACGATTGCAAGGTGGACTTGCTGTTGAGCAGTCGCCAATCACTCTCATCACTCCCGAAACTTCACTAACAAGCCTCATCACGTATGCACAAACAACTCTCAGCACACACACACACACACACACACACGACTCACGCAATGGACGGTATTTTGGAGTATTTGCGGGTGCACCATGGATAAGGGTCATCTTCATCATCGCCCTGCAACCACAAGCAAAGGAGAAGAACAGCGTTGGCAAACAAGGCGAAGGGGGGGGGGCGGATTGAGATGTGCTTGTGCTTGACGGCACACACACACATACACACTGACACTGACTTGTTGGTCTTTGTGCTTTGCATCCCGCTTCTTGTGTCTTCGGTCCTGATGCTGGCCTTCGCCTTGGCGGGCGTTTCTGTGCTTCTTTCTCTTTCTGTCGTCTTTGTCGTGTTTGCCATGCCGTTGCTTTGGCGATCCCTTTCCTTTCGATCGCTTCGTTGATGGCTCCGCTCCGCCCTCGTCTGTGTCGCAGATGATCAAGCCCAAGAGCAAGCGCGTCAACATCGAGAGTGGGTGAGACACACAGCTGAGGTCATACGCCACGTCCACAACAGCCATGTATGGACGCGGCAAGAACCCCCGATCTGCAGTTTGTCTCATCACCGAGACATGCAGGGAGTCAACCATACAGCCACATCATCGCCACATTGCAATCTCAAGCAACACGCGCGCACACGCACACGCACACGCACACGCACACGCACACGCACACGCACACGCACACGCACACGCACACGCACACGCACACGCACACGCACACGCACACGCACACGCACACGCACACGCACACGCACACGCACACGCACACGCACACGCACACGCACACGCACACGCACACGCACACGCACACGCACACGCACACGCACACGCACACGCACACGCACACGCACACGCACACGCACACACACCGGCATCGACGGTGAGCGGCACAAAGTCGTTCAGCATCATCGTCGCCTCCGCCACCCACACCGCCACCGCGCAACGTGCTTCTCAATTTATGCTGTCGGAATGCCGTAAGCGATCGGTCACAACTGTCACTGTCACGATCGTGTCCCAACACACTCGCATCAGTCGCTCGTGTTTGCTGTCTCCACAACAGCGCAGCACTCTCCCGTCCACACGCCACACGGCGCACTCCACACGCGGCGAGTGCAGGTCACAAATGTTACAAATAGATGTATGAATTGAGGGATGGGATACAGTTGACATGATGGGCAGATGCGTCGAAAACAGGGCAAGGTCACAAACGAGAAAGGAGAAAGGGGGGGGGGACAGGGAGTGGAGCACACTGCTTCCAAGATAGAGAGGGGGAAAACTCCCAGAGAGGTGGGAGAAAGGAAAAAGCGAGGGAAAGAAGTGACGCATCAGCACTACATCTCATCCTAGAATCAAATCATGACAAATGAGCAACCCAACAACGTCAACAAACAGGGGCCGGCAGCCTGGCTATTCGTTGGGGTCCGAGTCCGTGTCCACAAGCTCATGCAGCTCACGTTCCTGTTGTTGTTGTTGTTGTTGCATGCACATGCATCATCGTGTTAGCAGAAGCAGGAGGCAGGGGGAGCAACTGTGTTCATACACAGCATGGTACAGCGCTCGAAACGCATATCTGGCCACGCAAGAATGGCAAACCACCTCCACACGAAACGCAACACAATACCCACACGCACACACTAAGCACAACAAACACACACACACACACACACACACACACACACACACACACACACACACACACACACACACACACACACACACACACACACACACACACACACACACACACACACA